AACCCTAAACCCTAAACCCTAAACCCTAAACCCTAAACCCTAAGCGTACAGGTATCTCCTCAGGAGGGTCCGGAATCTCGTGGGGAGACCTTTTCGGGTCTCTTCGGGGTATCAAACACCCTACATTTTCAGGTTCCCCCCAAGGGTTTAGGGTTTAGGGTTTAGGGTGTAGGATTTATAGGGTTTAGGATTTATAGGGTTTAGGGTTTAGGGTTGAGGGTTTAGGGTTTAGGGTTAGGACCCCTAAGGGGCGAGTCTTGAATTACGGAGCCTCTGGGTCTGCTATCGAAAACTGGGCTTAGGGCTTCCCTGGGCCCTAAACCCCTCAACGCTAAGCCCTAAAGCCGTAAACCCTAAACACTGAAGCCCTAAACCCTAAACCCAAAGCTCTAAACCCTAAACCCTAAATCCTAAAACCCTAAACCCTATAAATCCTAAACCCCTGAACCCTAAACCCAATTTGGGGCTTTGGGTGCAAACTGGGCTTGTGGGGTTTGGAGCTCTGAGTCAGGCTTGAAAGTTTAACCAAAACCCAATGTAGGGGCCTGGATGATTAGAATAGGGGTTTGGGGTATATTATACTATAATTATCAAGGAACTCCCTAGATAGTATAGGTGATTTTTTCGGCCCCTATATTCGACCCTTACATTGGCCCTGAGAAATACCCTCAAGTCGTTATCTATGGCTCGTGGCACCCAAAGAAGGACCCAAAGTCCCGTCATCGGAAGTACTTGGACCCTTAGGGGTAGGGTTGATGATGTAAATCCTTACCATAGTTCACAGGATTAATGTCATCAGCAGTAGGGGAGTGCCTTCAGCCCGAAAGCCTACGAATCTAGCCAGGTGTCATCTGCAGCACGTCGGTAATCGGGAAGTCGACCTCGATTCAGGTGAGTTTAGGGCGTAGGGTTTAGGGATCAGGATTCAGGTGGTTTATGTGTTCCAACCCTTGCACTTAAAAGGGCCTGTCTTGGCATGAATAATGCTTTACGTCCAAGCGTGATCTGTAAGGAATACGACATCCACAGCTATGTTAAGGAAAACTATGCCATTCCTATATTCCGATCCTTAAGTGTCGTCCACCATTGGTGCTAAAGGGTGCCGCCGCTTTCACCCTAGGCATCTTGTGTGTGACAGGCCCAGCTAGGAGTGATATCTTACCACGTTACACGCATGAGGCTCCAGAGTATGGTTGCGATCCAAGAGCGTGTTGCTTTAAGGGCTCTTCCCCTAAACCCTAACCCCAAACCCTAAATCGTCCCTAGGGTCATAGCTCATAACCTACCGTCTCGTAGGGATCACTGGTCGGCTTCAGGGTTTTTGAGTTTAGGGTGTTTAAGGTTCGGGGTTCTGGGTTTGGGCTTTGTGTTGAGGCTTCTGGGCTTAGGGTTTGCGTGCAGAATTTAGGGTTTAGGTCACAGTTTAGGGTTTAGGGTTAAGGGTAAACCCGCAACACCAAAAACACACTTCCGGCGCACAGTTCCCGCCCGGAGAGGCAGTCCAGCTGACAAACATGCATTTGCTAAATCCAAAGTCACGCGCTGAATGTTGAGGCGATCAGTGCTTAAGGGTTTAGGGTTTTGGGTTTAGCATCCCGTGGCATCAAACCCTACAAAATATTGCGGTGATGACCCCTGGATGATGACATAACCCTTGGAGCAGTTGGTTCTTGGATCCCCAAGTTACACTGAGAGCACCAAAGGTTAGGGCCAAAATCAAAGAAGAAGGTTTGGAGTTTAGGTAGGGTTTAGGGTTTAGGGTTTAGGGTTTAGGGTTTAGGGTTTAGGGTTTAGGGTTTAAGGTTTTGGGGTAAATCAATACAAGAATTACATGAAGTCAGAAGCCCTGCTCTAATGATTGAGGCTCCAGGCTCCTAGTGGATCCCTCACCAGGCACCCTTAACAAACCCCAAACCCTAAACCCAAGACTCCCTTAAACCCTAATCCCTAAACCCTAAACCCTAAACTCTAAGCCCTGAACCCTTAAACCCTAAACCCCTAAACCCCCAAACCCCCAAACCCGTAAACCCCAAACCCTAAACCGGGGATGGTGGATTCTCTGGAGCTATTCCCCAAACCCCAGAAGACCAGATCCGAAACTGTCAACCCTTACCTGGCGATCCCAAAACCTGCTGTGCTAAGGGGGGATACACAATACCTGGACCCCAACGAACCTATCTTTTTAGGGTTCCTTATTATGATTTCTTTGTATAAGTCCTAAAAAAGGTAGGTTACTTGGGGTTAAGGTAGTTTTAGGTCTTAGGGTTTAGGGTCATAACCGACTACGATGTTGTAGGGGTTGGGGCCACATGCAAACCCTCAACCCTACTCCAAGAACCCTAAAACCCTAAACCCTAAAGCCTGCACGGCCGAATCGTGCCAAGGCACATAACGTTTGAGCTGGCCATCGTAGTACTCCGTTCCCTTGATGATGACCTCGAACATGGCGCGACTACCATCGTCAACTACTTGTAACGGTCTTGATACTTGTCCCTCTCTTCTTGGGAATGTGGGCCCTGCAAGCTCAGGGGCCAGATTCAAGAATGGTCGAAATTAAAAAGACTCCATACAGCGTCATGAACAGACCATATTCAAGAACCAGTGCTAGCAAGACTGTAAACGCCCTTGCTAAGCAAGAAACAGCAAGCCATCTCGCACGTCCATCCGGGTTCCTGTCTTTTGGGTGGCCTACAGTGGCATGGCAACCCGTGCTATGAAATGTAATGTTATTCCTAAGGGTTACTTCTGAGCTTATACTCCAGAAATCCATGTCCGGTTATCAAGGCCCTCCCTCCTGCATTAATTTGCAACACATCCTACTTATACGGTTTAGGATTTCAGGTTTTAGGTTTTAGGGTTCAGGGCTTAGGGTCCTAAGGGTCCGAAGTAAAAGTCGTTAAAATTCAAGAAAGTTGCTAAGAGTTGCTAGGGGCTTAGGTTTTAGGGTTGCCTTTGTAGTGGGTTCCGAATACTATTACTACCAAAATTACAATCTAGGGCTTCTAGAATAGCAATGATTTATAGGGGATACTTACCCAAACCATAATAGTAAGCGCAACTATAGAAACCCAACCTTCTACCATAAACCCTAAACCCTAAACCCTAAACCCTAAACCCTAAACCCTAAACCCTAAACCCTAAACCCTAAACCCATTGTACCCATTGGGTCGTCTCCGTGAGCCCGGCAAGATGCGCAGGGAAGTTCACACCCCAGGCCAGGGTTGATGTGGAAATCAGCACCTGGCACTGGTCCGGAATAACGTCCTCAACGGTTTAGGGTTTAGGGTTTAGGGTTTAGGGTTTAGGGTTCAGTAACTGCAACCCTATCCTTTTAAGTTTACAAAGCCCTATTTTGCCCCATACACGTCTACCTTTTGGGGTCGATGCTTCTCCCGGAAAGCTAACCCCTCTTCAGAGCCCCGGCACCTGATAAAAAACATGGCTGGTCTTCATAATAAATTGGACGTTCATTATCGTAAAGTGTACTTAGAGAAACCGTGCCGGGTAGTATTGGCAATCCTCCAGGCTTCCATATTAAGTCCTGCAGACCTGCCCCAACCTTGAACCCTACAAAGACCCTTATAAGGGTGTTGCAATCGCAAGCTTGACCCAGAGAGCCAAAGACCTCGCACACGCCGAATCCAGCAAACATCCCTGAAACGAAGCCCTAAGTAGTTTGAAATTGAATTCCAGCAAAAACCCTTCATGAAGAACTGTCTTCATTCATCTCACTCACAACAACGACAAGCGCTTGCCACTTGCAGGTGGTGGCGGCTAGCTGGCAGCGCCATTTAGAAGCTGAGATAGCTTGGAACGGGATACAAACTTGAAGGAGTGGGTCGGTAATCAAACCGCTGCTAGGCAGCATCGCATGCTCATAAGGAACCCGGAGATTAGGGGTACAGATATCAGATATCTACACACTCCTATTTAGAACATTGCTGAAACCCGCTAAGTCTCCATCAGCAAAACGCAGCCGGTCCCCTACACCCGAAGTTCGAACCTCGCCAATCCTGAATCACACCGCCCGGAACCCTAAACTCTAAATGACTAAACCCAAGGGCCACAAACCCTTCAAACCCTACAAGTTCAACATGCCTTGTCTTGCTCCGACATAAGACATACAAATCCCACACAAGAAAACCTGAACCCCGAAAGCCCTGTGCTTGGCGCACTCCACGCGCCTGGTTTTGATCGACGCTTTACATCGTCAGAAATACCGGATGATGATGTCAAAACAATCAGAAATTGCCAATGCTTCAATTCCTCAGGCTCAAAATAGCCCAAAGGCCTTATTTATTATGGCCTTTGGGCCCGCAGGCCTTAACATCTGAGTTCTCAGAGCCTTTGGGAATTCGAAGAAGCTGGGATCCAGGGCATGTGGCCCGGAATCCGGCACGTACTGCAATCGTCGCTATGAGCAAAACGTAGAACTCATAATTTGCTCATGCGTGGAAATTAGATGAGGGACCCTTACCCTCAAAGGAGTCATAGTTTGAGGCTTTTGGGCCCAAAGACCTTATTATGCAAGGCTTCTGGGCTATTTTGATGCTAAGGGGGCATGTCGCGACTGAAAGTACGTGCGAAAAACCAAGTCACCAAGCAACAGTAAAACTCGTGTGGCCCTTCGGCATGCGCCACGGTCTCAGTTTCAATGCAAGACACGGTTCGAAATGCAAATCTTTGGTGAGCACGCCTTGGCCTTTATATAAACCCCGCAGAGTTAAGGGCTTTTTGGTGTTGCCTGGGACATGACAGGTGAGGGCTCTTAGGAAAGGTAGTTTACAGGGCCGTCGGCACAGGTTATTGCGGCACTTTTCGTGCCTTGTTTTGATCGACACTTTGCCAACATACGGCTTGCAGGTTGCAATGACCTGAGCACTGCATGCTTCATCTTTGCAATCCAAGTCTGTTACAAAACTTCTTCTTTACTCTGTGGCGATCGAAATTACAAGATCTGTGACACGTCATTCTGCTGGCCGTGTCCTTGCGGATTCAGGTCAGCAGATTGCGCCGGGCAATGCCGGCACAGGCGATTCAAAAAGATCTTCATTCCTTGGTGAAAAGTCGTCTTGCCGGCCATAAAATTGCGGTTCTCGTTCGCCACATAGCGGGACGTATCTCTCAACTCCCTCTCCCGGGAGCCACGTGGAGACGTCCACCTCCCAGTATGTGTAGCCCTTCTTTTCCAGCCAGGCGACCTCGGCTTTCTGGGAGTTGCCGAGGCCCTCTGAGGTGACCAGATACTCGCGCTCTGTCTCTGAGAGGGAGGCGAGGAACAGGCGCCGAGCTTCACGGCTATACTGGGAGGATCCGTCGCCACGTGGCTCCGTGGAGAGGTTGCCGAGACCTGCGTCCAGCGCCTGCTTGAACTCAGGAGACTCCTCGTAGTCGTTTTGTTTCCTATTCACCTTCTCCCTGTTGAGGTTGTCGTCGCCTGCCGTATCGAAGCTCTCCACCTTGCCTTTGCCGACGTGGTTCTGGAAGAAGTAAACTTCCAGCTCTGCTCCGGACTCGACCGCCGTCTCGATGTTCTCCCTCCATTTGGTAAACCACCTGCAGCCCCACGGCTTCTGTTCACCGTAGAGGGGCGTGCACCAGCAACTACCGGGCAAGCCTTCGGCTTCGGGGATGCTGTCGCACTGGCCGTAGTCGTCCGTGCCTTGTGGGAGGAACACCACTGCTGCACTGACATCACCATTCCGCCCTTGCGAGACGAGGGATTCCCACGCTCCCTCGTATTTCCCGGGCCAGCTGGCCACGCAGGGCCGCCCGCGTTCGCGGATGACGCTTCCTTCAAAGCGAATGCTACGGTTGCTGACTTCGCCTTGGGCTGACTCGCGTTCTCGTTCTAGGGTGAGAAGGTCGTCCTCGGTCAGCGGGGTTTCCAATTCCCCAAACAGCCATAAGACAAAAAAAACGCCGACACAAAACAAGGTCCCAGTCCAAACGATGGCTGCAGTCCATGGGAATCCTTGCAGAGCGTGTTGGACCGTCATCAGCAGCAGCAAAGCCAGCGCGAGGAACCCCAGAATCCGGAAGCCAAAACGGGCGTGAACAGAGTATTTTCCGAAATAAAAGTCATCTGTCTGACTTGAAATATCCGAGGCAACAATCACACGACTGAGGCAGCAGCACAACGGCACCGTGGCACTCGCCAACAGTGCGGCAGCAAGGGCACTTCCGGGCGGGATTGCAACGCAAAGGATCAAGAGGACAAACAGAAGGATAACACTTGGAATCTCCCGCCGCATATCCTTCCGCACTTGTGCGTTCCGCTTCTCTGCGGCGGCCTCCTCGATCATCTTCTCGCTCCGCATCTGGGCTTCCTTCCGTCGCTTTCCTTCGCGGGCCAACTCCCGGGCCTCGGCGCGGTCCCGGCCTTTCGCCTCTCGGCTGAAAGCTTCGAAGCCCACGGAGGCCCATAATTCCTTTCTTCGGATTAGGGTTTAGGGTTTAGGGTTTAGGGTTTAGGGTTTAGGGTTTAGGGTCTAGGGTTTAGGGTTTAGGGTTGAGGGTTGCTATAACCAGGCCCAACAAAGTTCAAGCTTTTTAACGAGGCCTAGACCCAGCATATTAAAGCGAGGAAGCTTAAAGTTAAAGTTCTCCCATTGGCAAGCTAAGATACGGAGGAGCCTTTGGAAACCAGGCAGCAGCCCTTCAATGCCGGATTTTCTCGCAATCGAATCTCCACAGAGGTCACTTCATCCGACACGTCGACATCCCAAGACCTCTGGGGATACACGACCTGCCATTCGCCACTCCGAAGCTTCACTTCGATAGGGGTGTGCAGATCGTTTGTCACGGAAACCGCGGCCATGGTGCCGCTTTCGGCAGGAATTCTGCCCTCAAGGGAACCCTGAGACATCGATAATAACTTTTATAGACCCTAATTACTAAGTCCCATGATCCTCGAAGTATCGTAGCCTGCAGGGAAAAGCCCAACCCGTGGGCGTCGCTTCTCGCGTTTGCGAGGGAAGCTCGGGCCTTGCACTGCGAAGGCTGCAATCCATACAAACGCTCCCAGAGCGAGCCCAAGATATACCTAACATTATGGGAAATAATATATATATATACATAATATATATATATATGTATATGCTACCCCCCCCCTCAAGGATCCACTATTTTCGCTGTCTCAGAAGACTGGATCAAACATTTTAGCTGTTTCAGAAGACTGTGAAGCAAACGAAGCATTTATTCACTTTATAGTACAAAGGCGAATACAGTAATCTCATTCATATTCACATTAATACTAGTTACTAGTATGAGACTAATACTAGTTAGTAGCATATATA